TTCATCTCGCTTATAATTTTGGTGGGGGGCCTCAAACGCACCGTTTCGACCACTGCCTTTTTTTTTTTTTCTGAGGGGGGTGACGGGTCGCTCTCCGCACACGTCGTGCGCCGCACAGGATTGGTTGGGCGCGTGBGCCGCACGTAGGGAACCGCCCGCAGACGTGCGCTTGCATGTATGCTTGTAACCCTAGCTGGGGGGTATGAGATCTAATGATTTCTGGTACGAGGACTGAAAGCTTGGTCRACGTATCTTTCATTTGTGACGAGGGTAGGAGCTGGATTATTAGTGGTTGTTGTTCTTGACCTTCCTCCTTTTCGTTTTTTTTCATATGGAGGGAGAAWATCGRAAGTAAGGTTTGGAAGTAACTTTGGGGGGGGCTCGCGCAGTAGGGGAAGGGTGACTCAGGGTGGTAAATCTACCAGAAGGAYRGGGTGGGGCGATAGTGGCCGGTGCTGGGGCAGTGGCTCTGTGACCATGGAGAGGAGCTTGAGGCCATTGTAGCTATGCCGAGGGTGGAAGGCATAACCACCTCTTTCAACGTAGCTGAGGCTGGAGCAGTGACCCTGTAACCCGGTTGGGGGTTGGCAGCCAAGGAAGCTGTCGAGGGAGGAAGACACTTCCTGTCCGTCAGAAAACAGTTAGTTCGGTGCTGGGGCAGTTTGTTTGGCCTTGTAACCCTAGCAAGGGGGGTACGAGGACTGAAGGCTTGAGTGGCGGTTTCTCGGCTGTAGTGAGGGTTTGACTTGGATTGGTRGCGGTTTTAGCTCTGATTTTCGTTTCTCCAATTTTCTCTATAATTTTCTCAAATCTTCTCGAATTTCTCAAAATTAAGGTGAGTGGAATAAGTAGATGGTGGGATGTCAAGCGTCCTATTAGTGAGGAGGGTTAGCTAGTAGGATGGAATTAGGGTACAGCAGCAGCGGAGATGGTGGCTCTGCTGAAGTGAGTCTTGCCGGAGGGAGGTAAAGAGGGTTGATGGCTGGTAGTTTGATGTTGCAATCTTCCTTAGTTCTAATTCTTCTTAAAAAAAAAAAAAASGKGGGGTAGTCTGTTTTGTCATAAAAAGGTCTTCTGGATCCTGGGGATTCCTGGCAACTTTGTTTAGGTGGYTTCGAGGCTGTAATACTCAGTGTCCTGAGGYTGTTCGATGCCAGAACGACGCTGGCCGGTGCTRGGGTGTTACCCTGTAACCTGCTGATGCARGAGCATGAGGCCTGGYAGAGAGATCWGGGGGTGCTTTGGGGGGGSATTCCACGGGACAACSAGGGGCTGCTGCTGGGACGACGCTGGCCGGAGCTGGGGTGAGTTGTGTTGCCCTGTAACCCAGCAGGATGGGGGGTGTGAGTCCTGGAAGAGCTCGGCAGAGAGTAAGACAGTGTTGAAGAGCCTTGGAAGGTTTTGTTAGGGATTTTGTGGGTATTGGGGCTTTTGTAGGACTTCCGCAGACTA